AGTCGCACTAATTTGCACAAGAGAGACTCTGAAGGATTCTGGTCCTGATAGTAAAATGTCGTCGTGGTGCAAATGACCTTTTAGCAGCCTTATTTTTATACACAATAAGCAGCAACAGTTTGTGAATCCTCTTGCAACGCAACACTCCTTTCAACTGAGCCTTCGCGTCACATCCCCCCGCAAAAATTTGTTTTTCGTTAAGAATCAAGGCATTTTGTCAAGAGCGTACCATTTTACACGACTCCACCGCCGCCTCCATGTTAGTAGGGAGTTTTAGTAACAATGATGGCGACGACAACGAGGCCATCAAAAAAGCACCAATTGGCAAAACAAAAACTCTGCAGGTGCATCACCCTTTTTTGTAGATTTGTTTGCCGACTTCGACGTGAAAATGCTTAATTTCAAATTGTCAGCTATGGAGAAGGTAAACAAGCGACGACGAATTTTTGTTTCTCTTTCTAAACTTGAGTGCGGTCCCCGAGTAATTAACTCCTGGGAAATTCGCCTACATTGACATTTTCAGCGAACTAGAATAAACGCGACAAAGTTTTAAAAAACACAAACTCATTCTAAAAATTGACGTTTTTGCTGCCGCGTTGCCATTCGCCATCATCTTTGCTAAAGCTCCCTAATCGGGGCAAGACGACAAACAGACTCTGGCGCCAAAGTGGAAACAAACGGCCCCGATTATCAATCACCGATATTTGAAACCCGTAAACCTCGACTGTTACTCGAAAAACTAAAAAAAAGACAAAAGAAAAAACAGTCTGTGGCCGTGATTCGAAAAGCACATGTACATACACATTGCGCAGATTAACCTATTGAAACTGAGCTACTTGAAATTGTCATCACGTCCGACGTGACAGTGAAAACCTGTCTCTCTTTTTTTCAATCAGTTTTGATTATTATTTACCAGGCTCTTGAAGAACGTTCACGCTGCTAACTTCCTGGAGGATCCAAAACACTCTTTAATGAAAAGTCAAACGCTCAGGCAATTTTGTGTGGACGCTTTGATCCTTATAAGAGCTATTTTCGTTTGACCTTGAAATGATTCCGTTCGAACAAAACAAAAACAACCGACGAACATAAATATAAGAAAATGATTCTTTTATCGAACAGACAGAAACGCGCGCCTTTTGGTTGGTTTAACTTTTCCCGCTGAAAGAAGAATTCTCTGAAAAGTAATTTTCCACAACTTGGGGCGACAAAAACCATCTTGGGAATTTCTTTCCTTTCTTACGGTCTCCGTCCCCGATTTTGGCCATTTTTCAAGGTTTCGGGAAAATCGCTTTGTTGCTATTGAAGCGACAAGTCCGACTTTATACGAATATTTTTAGCACTAATAAGAAAGGTTTTTTGTAAACCGAAAATCCAGTGAGGTGAATTTGTGCGTTCACAGTTCCTTTTCGAAACTGTTTTGACACGTATGTCAAGTGTCTCTTATTTGTTTTGCTCCGAGCTTTAGTTTTCTGCGAACTCGGCTGCCACTTTCGAACTCTATTCCGGGGATTTTTCCCGCAAACCCAGTCCTGCTTTTAGTCGCAGGTTAGAACTCCAGTTTTGACAGATTAACTTTTTTGTTCTCTTTTCTCAGAAAAGGGTAGAAAATAAAGCTATGCAAACAGGCTAAAAAGATACCTAATGGGGAAAAATGCCCCAGTCTAGGCTGTTTGCTATATATAATACTACGTCCTGCCACTCACACGTGCTGCACGAAAAAAAAAAAACATATATGATATTCTAAGCTACAGTTATACTGTAAGCGATAGCTCACCGAGATCGTAACCTGCGCCGGGCTGTGGTTATTATTTCTGGTGAAAACGTCTGCAACTGTATAGTACGAAAAAATTGAAATGCAACAAGGGGCTTTTTATTTGATTTTTTTATTTAGATAACCAATTTATTTGATAACATATTTGAACTAAAGCAAGCCAAGGGTTGGAAAAAAACAAAAACTAAACTAAACTTTTGCCTGGGTGGCCTGCCATCTCAGGTGTCACAGTTTTTTTTCGTTTTCCCATTCCACGAATTTAAGCCTTAAGCGACCAGGGATTTCCCCATCGGTCTTCTTTTCTGTGGAAGATGTCTTTGAGTAAAAGGAAGCAATTTATGAAATTGTGTAGCCGCGAAATTTTGATTAGCTCCTTATGATGAAACTGAAAATTAATCAAAACCTGTTCAATAATTTTTTTCAGTAAAAGTGTTCTGAGTATCACGTAGCAACATTCGCCGGGCGGATTTGTTTCTCTTTTATTTTCACTCGGGTATTCAACAATTTTCCAGGAATTACGAGCGGAACAACATGTATTTAGGCCAATGTAAACTTAGCCTGGGACCAGGCTCGCCGTGGGGGGAAAAAGGCTCTCACCCTTTCCCCAACCAGAGATCCTGTTGACAGGTTACGAGGGCAAAAAAAAAAAAAATCAGCGAGCGAAGCGAGCCGAGCGGAAGTCTGCGGGACCCCGTTTTTGCCCCCCCCCCCCCCCCCCCCCCCCCCCCCCCCCCCCCTTCCCCCCCCCCCCAAAAACCCACACACGGGGGGGGGGGGGGGGGGTTTGGGGGGGGGGTGCGGGGGGGGGGGGGGGGGGGGGGGGGGGGGGGGGGGGGGCGGGGGGGGGGGTGGGGGGTTTTGAAAAAAATTGAGAACGAATGCTTTTTGTAGTTAAAAATGGAAAAAAAAACAACGAGCACCGAGCGCCGGGCCGCCATGCGGCTCTTGCGGTCTGCCACGGGTCCCCACCACGCCCCCCGCCACCCCGCACCAAGGAGCCTGGTCCTAGGCCAATGTAAACTGCAGACGTGTGGTGGTGTGCCGGTTTTGGTGGGGAGCTTTCGGAGCTGGGAGGGAGGGGAAGGAAGGTAGGGACCGGCGAGGCCATGGTAGTTTGGGTTTATCAAAAAAGTTGATCAGCTAAATTGAGCGTCGTAAAAAAAACTGTCTACGAAAACTCAATTACAGGATTGGAAAGCTGAAGCTAAAGTTGACGCTTCTTGTATCTTATTTTTTAAAACAAGCAAATCTGCAAATCCAGGGGAAGCCAAAAGTCGAGATACAAAATCTCTGAGCTAGAAATAATCAAGGGGACAACAGTTTCTTGCTTGAAACCAGAACTTTTTCCGGCACGCACATCTGCCACGTTGCCTTGAAGTGAGTTAAAGGAAATATAAAGTGGATGAACAGTTACAGCATCATTCTTGTCGTGACTTGAAAGTAACTAATTTTTTGTCATATTTTTGTTGTTTACATCAGTCTGTAGAAGCTGCATTGTGCAAAACCTTCAAGATAGCGATGAGAACATTTGTCCACAATGCTCTACAGTTATCCATGAAACAAATCCTTTCGATATGTTAAGGTGTGTATCATCAGTTTATTGTCTTTGTCAGTTACTTCTTAACGAAACCTCTCGAGCTGTTTGGCTTTAGACTACGTAGCAGTTCCCCTTTTTTCTTTGTTCCTCGAGTGGAACGCGCGGGACACACAAATGACCACGCCCACAGCGTCGCCGGTCAACGCGCGCGCGCGTGCACTCCGCTCTCTAAATCTGAAGAAAAAGAGAGACTGTTCGCAGTCTATTTGGCTTTAACCTCTCTAAATTGATAAAAGTCTTAGTCCGTCCTCCTTCTAAAAATAAAGTTACTTCTTTACATATTCGCAAAGTTTGTCGCAATTAAATTGCTCTGTATACGCTAGTCTCACTTGAACAGGAAAATTTTGAAGTCTTCCTATCTGATATGCGCCCCACCCCCGCCCCCTCCCCAAATTGCCACGATTTCATTTGTTTCATGTTTCAAAATGTAAACAAAATTCTTTGAAAATAACTGAATAAATGATTTTCCGCAGATTGCGAAAACTTAATGTGCGCCACTTCTTTTGATAATAAGTTTCCAAATGTTTCTCTGTATTTTTATCATTTTCTAAGAACTTCTGGGAAGCGCAATTGAGCATGCGTAAAGAAACTGCTCTTTATGTCTTAATTTCTCTACTAAACCTTCCCTTTCTTACCCTGAGTGCCGGCAGAGTGTGGTTTCCGGTTTTCCGGTCAGTGCCTGCGGCCGACCACGAGGCATCTCTGCCCCACTCATTTGCCGCACTTTAGAAACCTCTGGTACTCAGGGTATCCCTTTCTTTTCAGACTACACAAACTTTAATGTTCGGGATAAGATATTGGGTTCCCCACACAGTGATATTGATATTCTTCAGTTTTCCAGAGATACATGTTAATGAATGAAATGAATTAGCAAGAGCCGGCTTCCGCCATCCGCTATCTTATTAGCCTCACACGCAGGCGTTTTTAGGGGAGCTCGTTTTTCATCCCTCCCCACAAACGGGATGAAAATGAGTTCCCCTAAAAACGCCTGCGTGGGTGGCTACTATCTTATGACCCGCCCCGTCAGAAAGGGCTGGAAAAAAGATAGGCCCGCCTTTGTCAGAGAGATTACGATAAGTGTTAGTTATTGTTGTTAATGTTGTAAATTACTTTTCTCCACCTTTAACTTAAAGCACGTTTGGAATTGAATTCCAAACCCGCTTTTATGCAAAAAGAGCTCGCTCTTATAGCCTCGTTCGGAAGAGGCTTGAAGCAACGGTCAGAAATGGCATATCCCATTGGGGTTTTTCCCCAGGTCGTGACGTGAATGAGCCAAAGAAGAAGAATTACTTTCTAAATGAGTAGCACCGTGCAAAAGTACTGCGGAAGAGGTTTCATTTGAATGGTTACACCTTTGGATTTCTTCCACAGACTCAAAAGTTAGAAGTACACATCAGATAAATAGGTCAAATAGTACTACCGATGTGAAAGTACTGCTGAAGAGGTTTCATTTGAATGGTCACACCTTTGGATTTCTTCCACAGGCTCAAAAGTTAGAAGTACACATCAGATAAATAGGTCAAATAGTACTACCGATGTGAAAGTACTGCTGAAGAGGTTTCATTTGAATGGTCACGCCTTTAGATTTCTTCCACAGACTCAAAAGTTAGATCGGCAAACCAAATTAATAGTACCATGTGAAAAACCGCTGAATAGCTTTCGTTTAATGGTCACATCTTAGGATTTCATCCACCGACTCAAAAATTAGTACTGGTTGTCTTATCGCCATGATATGCAAGGTGGGAAAGAAAAGGGTCATACGAGCGCCATTTTTTTGTTCAACCCATTCCACCTACCCGCATTGAATTGGACGGAATTAGACTGTGGAGAGGTGCCGGGTATGAGCAGACTTGATGCACACTGGAAACAAAAAGCTGCATAAAAATATTGATGACTTTGTATTGTCATGCAAATCAGCCGAAAAAATAGACATGAATAATGTGTATTTTTATCAATTGTTTTCTGAAATTGACACCGGAATACATTCCCGTAGAATTACGGACTTCATGATGAAAGCGGAAACTGGTTACAAATAACAGGTGCGCTGTTGTTACCAGCTTTGCGTTTTTAAAAAGCATCTTGTAACTGGTCTAAAAATACGTTTGCTGACCCATTTATGAGAAAAGATAAGTTTTAGTAACTGCGAATTGAGGTAATGCAAGCGATTATTCCTGTTGTTCTTAATTAGGGTATCGCCCTAGAGACAACCAAACTTAGAAGTATGCAACATGTCTCTAAAAATAACTTTGGGTGTCAATGGGTGAAGCATAATCATTTTTGGTCACAGAAATCCGTAAAATGAAACAAAAAGCCCGGAAAAAGTGACCGAGGGTCAACTACAGTGTCTACATTACATGTATGTCTCCAAAATTGGACTCAGATGAGCAGGGATTGTTATAATGGATGAAGTGGAATCATTGTTAGACATATAAAATCGAGACAAATTAATAAGACAAAAATTCACTCTTTTAGCGAATTAACCCTACCATAACATACCATAATACTCCTTGTTGGTCACTCCAAAAGTTTGCATAAACATTGTTTTCAGTTTCTCTTGGGGCCATTTTAACTCCCAAGAGAAACTAAAGACAATATGCTTATGCAAAATGTTGGGGTGACTAATTAGGAGTATTATGTAATATGTTAATGGTATATTCTGGATTGGTCAATAAACTGTGTTCATTGGCCCATAGATTGGCCCGAATAAAACCTCTTTAGCAGACCTCCTTGAGTGGTACCATTTGTTTTTCGAAGTATTTTTCCGAATAAAATTTGCGATTTTTTTTCCATTTATTTTTGAATTGTTAATTTTGAGTGCATGAAAGGATTTTAAGCTGATGCCATTTCAAGTGGATGAAGATTGAAGGGGATAATTTCAAACTGAGGAATCTATTTCTGCGGCAAAGGGATTGCATTGCAAAACGTCAGCTTTTCAATCCTTGTAAGGTGGTAATGTGAAAAAAAATTTTGTGTTAAGGATGAGTTAAACCGTCGGTCACCAGAAAAAAAAAGGAGTCGTGGGATACATTTCCTGTAATTGGTGAAACACCAAGAGAGTCAACGGCCGAAACGTCTCATCAGATAAAATCATAAAAACTTTTACCGCGTAACAGCCTCCGAACACAGATGTATTTCCGGTTATCGCTTATTTCCTTCTTCAAAACGATATGCGGAAATACGTCTGATTTCTCAGGCTAAAAAGTGGAAAAGTGCACTCTATTACTGAATGATACAAAAAAATCATGCTATTAAAAGTTGCTGTTCAGATTACGGAAAGCCGTAGAGCCTGACGTCTGTTTTACAGAAGAAAAGATGTTGTGTTCAGTTTTGGAAAAGTGATTTTTTTTCCGCATTGGGTTGGTCGAGCGTTTGGAAACAATAACTTAATTACCAAAAGTTTTCGAACCCGTTCTGGAGAAACGGGCTCGGAACTTTTTTCAGTTGTTGGTCTCGAAACAGCTGCATATGAGAGGCCAATGAGTCTTTTGTGATCTGCAGAAAGCAGGAATTTACCGTTGTAGCCTCGTCAAGAAAAAAAACTTATATATTTATGAGCTATAATAGTTTTCAATATGTCATTCTTTATTAGAATTTGCATAACAACCGCACTTTAAGGAAAGCACTACTCAAAGGTTGTTAAATGCAACATTTCACTCGAATGATGCTTATGTGCTTTCTTTCCCTGGTTCTTTGCTTAACACATTTATCTTCGATGACAGTTATATACCTGTCGCGTGGCAAGCATCCGTTTGCCTCACTTTTTTGCCCCCTCCCTGCGGGCAAACAATCCCCTTATTATGATTCGTGTATAGTTCACGGATAATTTTAACCAAGTGCAGTTTTGCACTTTTTTTTCTACCTCTTTTTAAATCCAGATCAGACCAAATATTGGAGGATATTATTTTCAAGTTAGTGCCAGGATTACAAGAAAGTAAGACCTTTTCAATTTCAATTTTATTATTTCTTCCCTCAGCATTAATTTTACTACCATTGTTTTGATTTTTGAGGTGGATGAGGGGCATAATGGTATATGTAAATTACTGCTCACAAACCTACGTGAGTAGAATAATATAAATCTACATGAAAATCACACCAGTTAAGGTTTTTGCTCAACTGGTTGAAATTTCAAAAAAAATTGTTGGTTTGTTTTGTTAGTCTTTGCTAGACCTAGCAACTTACAGGAACTGTTAACTTTCACTTTCCCTTTCAGCGTAATTAGAAAACGCTTCAGTGTTCCCCCAATTTTAAGTAGTAGAATTTGATCAAGGAAAAATATTGATTACTTTAAAAATAGAACGAACTTCCTTTTTCGTTGTTTTCGTCTTGGTTAAGTGGTCAGGTCATCACGGTTGAATACCAAGATTGCGTGACTTGTTTTTGCTTGGTCATGGCACTCGATGAACACTATGTTTGAAGGTGACTAAACCAGTGGCAAGGAGGAAAAGTTTCCATCTCACTTTCTAAAGCCGATTCGCCGAAAATCCATTCGAGTTTACAAATCCCTATACAATTTCCCGTTTGTCGATTCTAAGAACGCAGCGTGTTTGTAATTAGTCTTCGCCGAAAATTGCCGAGAAGATTTCATTTCCCAAAATCGCTTCTCGTGCGTGATTCTCTCTCTGTTGGTCAGCGAAAGGCTTCTTGTTCTGAAAAAGCACAAGGAAAAATTTACCAGACCTTTTCATGTTAACAGGCGATTTAATTTGCATATGCTGAGTGACAGGTTTGAGCTTGCATAGGGCAATTCAATTGAAACACCGGAAGACTTAGCATGGGGAACCCCCCTCTGAAATTTGAAGTTTGATTGGCTACCTATAAATAAGTTTTCAAACTTCCTTGTCGTTATAATAAAGATCTCAAGACATACACAACGAACAGGACGTTTTTGTTGGCATTTCAAACTGGATAGCTAACAACGATTTTCAAACTAAGCTCCGATATGGAGAAACACCGAAGTATTGAATTTGTCATACCGCGAGACAAATCTCCGCTTCTGAAAGAGAAGATCGAACGAGTATGCTCTCTTTTCGGCGTCAACATTTCACTGCCAAATGATCTACCTTCCAACGAAAACCAGTGGGTCTGTATCAGTGGGTCGAGCGAGGAACGTCGTGGTAAAGCGAAGAGCTACATAACTTCTCTTTGTGGCAAAGACTCGGTAAGACACCGTGTGGACCTTAAGATACCTGTTCGCTTGTTTGATGATCTGAAAAACGGGAGGGCCGGCGAGGAGCTAGAAAGACTCGCTGGCGCCGTGTTGTCGTTTAGCGATTCGGAAGTGTACGTGCAGGGCGAAGATATTGCAGTCGCATTGGTAGTGTCTAAAATCCAGCAACAGATCGTTGCTTTTACTGATGATGTAAACGAACTCAATACTTGTTCCGCGAAGTGTGCAGATAGCGATGATCTAGTGCACGATTCTGCCGGAAATATTCCCGAACGTTCGTCAGTGGCTGGAAGTGCTAACACGGACATTGCACCTTCCATGAGGGAATTTGCACATAAACTTAATTACACAGATAAAGAAATAAACGCAGTCATAAGAACATTTGGAACAGAAATCAACATAAACCAACTTCTTCAGGAACTCGTCAAAAATTCCGCTTCGACGCTTCAGCTTAGTTCTGCTTCAGAGGACATGAATGTGCTTCCTGTTGCTCGCGGATGCTCTGGTCTTCGAGAACCGCGGGTCCTATACGCGCGGGGCGCCAGTCCCGCCATCTCAACCCGCGGAGCTGCGATTGTCGAAGCTGATAATCATGTTCCATTCCAGGCAGACCTCTTGCGGCCAATCGTTATCGATGGTAGCAATGTGGCCATGAGTCATGGAAACCAGCAAGTGTTTTCTTGTCGGGGCATAAAACTTTGCGTTGAGTTTTTTAAGAGAAGGGGCCATACTGACATTACTGTCTTCGTGCCATTATGGAGAAAAGAAGAACTTCGACCGGAAAGTCCCATTGCGGAACGGGAAGTTCTGGATGAACTCTCTAGACAAAACGTTCTTAAGTTCACGCCTTCACGAAAGAGTGGTAATCGCCTTATTGTGTGCTATGACGACAAATATACTGTTGATTTAGCCGATCGAAATGGCGGGATCATCGTTTCCAACGATGGTTTTCGAGACCTCATCAAAGAGAATCCACGATGGAGGGAGACCATTGAGCAACGAACACTGATGTACACTTTCGCTGGAGATCTTTTCATGCCTCCGGATGATCCCCTAGGAAGGAAAGGACCATCCTTGGACGACTTCCTGAAGAAAGGCTCTGCGACGCACCCGAGAATCTGCCCATATTTAAAGAACTGCACGTTTGGTAATCGCTGTAAATATTACCACCCCGAAAGAGACTCCCAACGACAACAGGAGAAAGCTGCGGTGAGAAATCCACCTGAAAATCCCGAGCTCCCTACAGCCAGTCCTTCTAACACAGCATCTCCTACATGTCAATCAACAAGGACTTCGACCAATGCGTTCCACCCAAGGGTGGGTGACCCAAGGGTTTCCATTGCGACTCCTGGTGTCCAACGTAGTTGTCAGTCAACTGCATCCTCAGCCAATGAGACTTGCACTAGGAACTCTGCAGCAGATTCATGGGTTTCTGACCCACCTATTTGTTCACGTTTAGAACGTCGTGGACAGCCCAATAATATGTTAGCTCGTGGGAGTGGACAAGTCAGCGCCCCCTCGCACGCATACCCTTGCGTTCGAAGTGGAGAAGAGTACTACCCGTGCTATCCGTATTATGGCGATTACCATAATGCAGTTCCTTCAGATTACAGAGCCAGAAACCTCCCGTATCAGGACCCAGCTCCTTTGTACCACCATGACGTGAGCCAGTATTCTCCGCTCCCACCTGCCCAGTGGCCACGGCCATACAATCCTCAAGTCCCTTACCCTCCACCCTCGGGTATTGGATATCCCGCGGGCACGTACATACATCAGTACTTTGAGCCTGCCCCTGTTCCGTACCGCAATTTCCAAGGAGACCAGAGACTGCATCGGGATCAAGTAGACAGTGGCACGTCAGGGGATTCTACCGCCAGAATAGAACACTTTGACAGTTTAGTTGAGAAACTTAAGAACGTTTTCAAAGACTTGGATGAAGAGTTAATAATCCGTGTTCTGCGGGGCCACCCGAAAGAGTGCGCGGACAAAGATATTAATAAATTAGCAGATTTCATACTGGAAGCCACTTCATCCCAAACCTGACTTTTTTATAAATGAAGAAGACTTCAGTTTATTTTTTTTGTGCATAAGGAATTTAGCCGGCTTTTTAAACGCTGTGCCACGTCTTGGTGAAAATGACACGCTTCGCATAGGTAGACTCTTCGTTTGACATGTTTGTCATTTTCCCCGCTTTATAGCAACGCTAAATGAATTCTTGTTAAGCCTATAACTTTGCAATTTTAGGAGTAGAACTTCCTCCAGCGGTTATTAAAAGCAGTTTACTTTTTGCTAATGCTCTATTGCAAGTTGCTCTTCTTTCAGTTTGTAAATATTCTACGCAGGAGAATAAAGTGAGCTTTACTATGAAATGTCTCTCTCTTGAACTAAGATTATGAACAACTAGGGTTAGACACTCTTTGTCCGAAGGATGTGACTGAGCAGATATTTGGTGATAATGTTTAAGCAGTGCACACATCCTAACGAGTAAAAAGGATGTTATAGACGATGAAATGTGTCGTCACGTCCTCATATATCGAGCCAGAATCTCTGTTACAAAAATACGTGGTGGGCGTCAACTTTATTACCTTTTCGATCAAAGATTCCGTTTCGTTTGTACCCTTTAAAGTGTTAACCCTTTAAGTCCCATTAGTGACCAAGATCAAATTTCTCTAAACAATATCCATACACTGTCAAGAGATAAGTTATGAGAATTAATAAAATGATCGCACAAGAGAAAATGCCTTGATCTATTATCAAACTCTCTCTACTTATTCTTTAAGGAAATGTATAGAGATTAGTTTGGAGAATTTGTATGTGGATACTGGGGCTTAAAGGGTTAAGCAAACATAGGTGTTTAAAAAACTACTGGTAGGTTAGTCTTTCGTCTCTTCCAACAGGAAGTAATGCAGAGCTGTTTTACTGTTTGTAGTGATCGATTGATGGATGAAATTAATACGTCTGCAGAACATACTTAAACTTGCTTCAACACGTATCTTTGCGGGTACCTCATTGTGTTACTGGAGAAGGGGAAATAAGTATTCGTAATTATCCGGAATCAATGAACCCGCTTTGTCGTGAAGTTCAAGGTGATCTCTTTATTTAACCCACGCAACTGGTAATTCGCCAGGAATTGAATTTGCGAAGAGAATGGGGACGAGGAAGTTAACATCTGCCCTCCCTACCTCCATCCCCCCACCGTTTGGGATTCAATCGTAGCAACACTGCAATGCCAGCTAAGCTTAAATTATTATGTTTACAGGCACTCTCTCACGACTTTGGGAAAAGGGCCGAAAACGCGTAAAGGCGTAATACACAACGGAAGAGCCGTTCATAGGCTTCCTCAAAATTGACACACTAGCTGCTTTCGCGCTTATTTACCACAGGCTAAAAAGGGTTGCGTTAGCTGAACCAGTTAAACCCTGATATCAAAATTGAAATTCTCATTTGTTGTCCCTATACACTTCCTTTCGAAGTAGTGGGGAGAAGTTGTTAGAGTATCAATTAAATTCATGTTATGTGATCAATCCTTTAATTCTTGTGACCATAATGTTTTATGGAGCAAAAATATTACAAGGAAAAAATTGATGCTGATTACACCTAAGGGAATTAAGGGTTAAAGGTGCCTTTTCTTAAAACAGGAGAAAGAGTCCGCCAGGAGGAGTTCAACAAAACTGTCCGGTCTGGAAAGAGAGACGTCAGCGGACACAGAAATATACACAAAGGTGCGTATGCAATATTATTGTCATTTATATATTACGTAGTCTCCTTCGCAGTCATTTTTAGGCTCGCCACGCAACGCTCCTCTTCCTGCGAAGGAGACTATAGATTACGAAGATGAAATCGAAATGTCCACACATCTCGTACACTAACTATAACTGTGTCGTAAGACCTATCGAAACGTAGCAATCACATTTAGAGTTTTTATAGCTAATAACATCGCGGCTTAACTGACAGACGACCAGTAACCAGAGTAACATCGCGACTTATTTTAAGACCTATCAGTTCAATAAGCAGAGTTTAATACCATCAACTGACGTGATATAGTTAACCAAGCAACAAAATCAAAGGAAAATTAAGAAAATCTCAAGCCTTTCCGTTCTTCATTAAAAAACTTTTATGTTGCAAACTATTTAATACTTGTGTAAACGAAAATAATTGCCCCCAAAGGACCCATTTTTTCGTTCATTTGATCCAAGCTTAATGGTAAGAAATTTGGCGGGTATTCGTTTCATCCGCGTTGTCGTCCTGTAAACGCATGAAAAAGGCTTGCTAATTGGCAATAGGGAATGATGGAACTACGAAGGGTATTAAAAAGGAAAGGAGATTTCTGCACTACGCGTAATATTAGTATTACTCGAACAGAATAGACAAGATGCTAATTGAAAGTGGGGTAATAGTTAACAAATACACAAGCCTTGACTTTGCTCTGTTCTGTTGTAAAGTAACTATAGCACACAGGAAGCGGTTAGAGCACGCTTCTTCAACCAATAAGAGGGCTCGTTATTATATCTGAACTTTATTGTAAATTGTGCTAATCGTTTAGCCCATATGGAACTGACTTCTTACTCAGGACAAAACGTTAGGCTGGGGGGAGGGGTAGGTAGGCAGCTTCCCGGAATCGTCTACTATTTCACTGAAAAAACTTGCAGACTCAGAAGCGGAGGAACCTCCTCAGAAAAGACATAAAAGCTCCTCACGTAAAACAGATAACTCAGATGACTCAGACAGTAAGCAAAATTTCCACCGAGACGATCCGCAGATTGGTGTCTGTCTCCAGTATCTCAGGTGGGTAACGCCGCTTTATAAGGAATACTCCCCTCTCAAAAAAGCTCCTCCTTTTCTGGGGAAGAAAGTTGATAAGGACCCCTCTCTTTAAAGCCCCCTCCCCCTTATTATTGCTCACTAATAAATAGAGAGACTTTATTAATCAATCACGACTGTAAAACCTCGTGTGGACTGATCGGGGATGGTTTATTTACCAACTGGAAGTTCAGATTTGTTTTTGATCCTCGGCTGCATAACCTTCAACTTCTTCTACTTGAGCTTTTCCTCTTAGTTTGTATTTTGGTTCTTTATGGAGAACTGATACCATCGTCTTTGCTAAATTAAATAAGCACCCCTCTCAAATATGCCCCGTCTCTATTAAGCCCCCCCTCAAATGTGTTTGAAATAAATAAGCCCCCGGGGAGCTTAATAGAGGATTGACGGTGAACCCCTGGGTTTCGAGACAACTATATAGCCCTCGCTCCTACTCCTCGGAGAAGACTGAGTTCTAACGTATCTTTGCAGTATATCGGTGAATCTTAATAGTTTCAAATAAATTTTTTACCCAGAAAAGTCGAATTCTTTATTCCTTGACAGACCAAATGATTGCAAATTATAAACAGAGAACTTACTTTCTATCGTTCATATCAGTCTTGATGAACATTCATCCGTTAATGTCATGATCATATCCTAATCGCAGGTGCACGGAGAGCACAAATTTTATACCTACGTTATCGATTGTGGTAAATGACTCACGTACTTCAGTTTTACATGCATACACGATAACGTACACGTCCTCAGTAGCGCAACGTTTTAGGCGTAGATAGATTTACCGCCCTTGTCTGGAATGGACAATCCTCTTGTTTTCTTGTTTCTTTTGAATTCTGCAACTAAGATTACGGCACAATTTTTAGGCAACAAAAAGGAAGTACGTGATGTGAAACTAATATAGATTGAAGCAGATCTTCCGCAGCTGAACCGTTTTTCATTAATGCTGCTAGCCTGTTAATTAGCGATAGGGAGATTAAGCGTCAAATTTATGGCACACGGAAAATGAAGCACTGACGCTAGTTCTAATTTTGTCATTGAACACATACGTATTAAGGTGATAAATTAAAACTGTTAAAAAAGGACAGCAACAGTAATAACATTCCAAAGAAACCGAATCACAAAGAGAGTAGAAAAAAAAAATTACATGAACAGGTCCAATAGCTTGAAAGGATGGGTTAGAATGGAGATTTTTCTGTGTGATTTTCTACGCGACGAGACTATGATCTGGTCACAACCCCCAGCAAGGCACGTCTTAAAAGTCGGAGATTTCCGCTTCTTTTGCTTCAGCTCAGTTTATACAGATCTGACGGTGAATTCTAAGCCTGATGAATATCCATTCGTGCAGTATGTTAATTGCACATATATCAATGCATCTTCATCTGTCTACTTGTCTACCTGCCTACTAGTCTACCAGTTTGTGTTGCTGCCTGTATACGTGTCTACCTGTCTGCCTTATGCCTGTCTATCTGTTTATCTGTGTGTTTAACTACCTGTCTACCTACCTGCCTACCTGCCCACCTGCCCTTCTGTCAGCCAATCTTTCGGTCGGTCTGTCTGTCTGTCTGTCTGTCTACCTACCTACCTACCTACCTACCTACCTACCCACCTATCTATCTATCTATCTATCCATCTATCTATCTATCTATCTATCTATCTATCTATCTATCTATCTATCTATCTATCTATCTATCTATCTATCTATCTATCTATCTATCTATCTATCTATCTATCTATCGATCGATCGATCGATCGATCGATCGATCGATCGATCGATCGGTCGGTCGGTCGGTCGGTCGGTCGGTCGGTCGGTCGGTCGGTCGGTCGGTCGATCGGTCGATCGATCGGTCGGTCGGTCCGTCCGTCCATCCATCCATCCATCCACCTAGCAGGATGCAGGATATGCACATCAACCTAGTTTAGTCCTAGTTGCCACGAGTCTGTTGTAGCTCAGTGGTAGAGTATATGGACAAGTAACCAGGAGTTCATAGGTTCGACTCCTGAGTAGCCTGTGTCACTAACTGAAAAAATACCATTATCATGATTTTGGTTTGTTTGTCATTGTACAGGAATTGTGACGAGGAGCAGGAACTGGTGTCTGGAGAAATGAAAAATAATTCCCGTGTTGAACACCCTGGTCGGGAACAAATGTCTGAAAGGTACAGTTAACTTTTTTTTTCTAGCAATTGGTCATTTACATGGCAGCCGAGGGAGCTGTCGTGTAGGTTGAA